AATGAAGAGGCTGTTGTTTCGGGGTGGTAAAAATTTAGGTGGAAAAAACCATACGTATTAATTTTCACTAATTTCTCAGAGGAATGTAGCTTCTTTTTTGATTATGAACACAGGCCACATGCCCGAGGAGTACGTGGCACTTCCTCAGAGTTTGTCATCAAATGGCCCAGAGGTTTTCATATCCCATCACAATCACTGAAGGTGCCTTAAAGCAGCATTTCAGTCCTTATCGCTGCTCTGAAATTATCGTGGCCATTAGACTTGCCACCATGAGCTTTTTACTTAATGTGTTGCTAAAAGAAGGACACAAATTACTTCATTCTCAAATTTTTAAAACAAATTTTTGTAACTGATTTTCAGCATTCATTGACTTCCTTTTTAGTCCTATATGTTTTATCTTAATGTAGTTAAAAGCATTATCCTGAGATGCAGTCCACAGACTTCACTATCCTGCCCAAAGGGCTCAGGGCACGAACACTGAGAATGACTAAAGCAGAGGTTCAGGGAGGTCGGAAGTATCGTCCAGCCTGGTGAACTCAGGACCTGACTCCAGCTCAGGGTGACTGACTGCAAAAGCTGCAGAGAATCCGGGACCAAAGGGGGCGGTAGGGAGGAGGTACCGTGACAGGGTCTGGTTCTGGCCAAGCTCAGGTGATCAATAGAAATAAGGCTGGGTCGGGGTAGTTAAAGAGACAGATTTCACCACTATTTACATGACATACATCACAGGTGCAGTCTCGCAGTGGAATACTACCCTGCAGTGAGAGTGAACGAGCTGTTACTCCACCCAACAATGGGACACATCTCATGAGAATAATGCTGGATAAGAGAAACTGGACATAGAAGCACCCACCGCACGTGACTCTAGTTAACGTCCAAGAAGTGGCAAAGTTAACTTATGGGAACAGGAATGCAGACAATGGTTGTCCATGGCATGTGGGGGTTAACTGGAAGAGGGCACGAGGGGTCTTTTGAGGGTGATGGCATTTTCTGTCACTCGATCGGGGGTGGTTACTCAGTTGTATACATTTATCAAAATTCAAGTAATATGCTTAAGCTCTGTGCATGTCACTGTATGTAATTAAAAAGATTAATGATGAGAACTGTTACTTCATCTCACTGATGGACCAGTGAGGAGAGGAATAAAGAGGGTTCCTTACTGTCCAATTTTCTTGTTGTGATGGAAGTTGGAAGGGAAGTAGGTACACGTGACGAGCCCAGTGGCTCCTGTGTGGGGAGCCCTGCACTCAGCTCCCTCCAAAGGGCTCTCCACCTCACCCAGAATCAAACCAGGTCCTTACACCGCCCCACAGGTAGAATGAATACATAGTGTTACAGTCCCAGGACAGAACACTGTTCGGCAATGAGAGCAAATGCACTACAAATACACACTAAACACGGTCAAGTCATCCTGAGTAAAATAACCTAGCGACAAGGGAGAATATGACGTACGATTCCATTTATATGAAGCATAAAATAAGCAAAATAATCTGTGGACTTAGAGGGGTGGTATGACTCCTGGGGATATGATGATGGAAGGGGACACAGGGGACCTTCTGGGACACTGGTCATGGTGTTTACTGATCTGGGAGCTGGTTATGCTGGTTGATCTGTGCACTTAAAAATGACAGCATAAACCACCGAAACAGAAAAGGGCCACACCTAGAGCAGGGGTTCTGAGTCACCCAGTTGGTCCTATGTAAATGGCGTCCCTGGAGCTGTGCGACACTACAGCTCTGCCTGGAAGCTGGCTGTCCCTGAACCAGTCTAGTGCCTCTCGGGATGACACAGAGGGGGAATCTGCTATTGTCCCCAGTGCAGGGGTGCCACCTCTGGGGTATTTTCCACCCGCAGCAGCAGGACGGCTGCCCCCACTTACTCAGGGTCCTGCACGGAGCCTCCCACGCAGTGGAATCTCTCAGGCACGGTTTTCCAGTCTTTAGCCATTTTCACCATGGCGCCTGCGTCAAGGACCCCGTAGCCAAAGAGGTGGTTAAACTCCAGGCCGACGCCGTTTCTCCGCCACTGATGCACCTCGTCGTGAAGCTGGTTCCGTTTGGAGGTGAGCACAGTCAGATGCTGCATGTCTCTCCAGGTCAGATCCAGGCTGGGTACCGGAGGCAGAGAGAGTTTGAGAACAAGGGCAAGTGGGGTGGGAGAGAGGGAGAGAGACATGATGACTAAGATAGCGCCTAGACCCCTGAAACATCCATGAACCCCCAAGTCAAGGGAAGGTTTCCATGCACGATTTAGAATATTGATATACATATGTGTCAATTAAAAAACCTTCCCTTTCTAACTAAGCATATTGCAAATGTGAGCTCTAACACAGACTGAAATGGCTAAAATGAATCAGACTGACAATACGAAGTGCTGGAAAAGATGTGGAGCAGGTGGGTACTTTGCTGATGGGAATGTGAATTACTGCAAACACGCTGGGAAACAGTTTGGCTCTGACTCCTAATGTTGTCCATGTGCTTAAGCTATGGCCCGAAAGTTCCATGTCTAGGCAGGTCTCCAACAAAAAAGGGCATCTATATTCACCAGGCATATGTACTGCGATGTTCAAAGGTGCAAACTGTGAAGCCCCCAAATGCCCATCCACAGTAAAACGACCAACTGAGGGGTATTTATAGGCCGTGGAACATTGTACTTCAATGATCATGGGAAAACTCTAGCTACTTGGAATAATGGGGGTGACTCTCACAATTAGAATGCTGACCTAAAGAAGCCACAGAGGACAGCATACCGGATGATTCCATTTGTGTAAAGTATAAAAACTGGCAAAATGAGTCTATGCTGTTAGAAGTCAGGTTAGTGGTTAGTCGTGGGGTGGGTGTGCCTGGAAGGGACACAGGGGGCTTCTGGGTGCTGGCAGAGCTCTGTTTCTTGATCCGGGTGTTGGCTACACTGGAGTGTTCCATTTGGGAAATGAGCTGTCCGTTCTTCAAGGGCAGAGACAATAGCTGCAGCTTATTTGCATCCCCAGCGCCCAGGACAGCCCTTGGTACACTGCTTGTTGAGTGAATAAAGAAGTTTGCTTGCAGATTTGTCTTTGAAAATGGCTGTCTAATATTATTCAATGCTTGTGTTTTTCAGACTGCAAGTTGTGACCCATTTATGGGCTAGGAAATCAACTGATGTACAGGTTATGTACCTGGGCTGCACAATTAAATCTTCCAGTGGGGACATTTAAAATCCTACTGCCCAGGTCACACCTCAGAATTTAAAATTAAATCATAATCTCTGGGACTAGGACCCAGGCTTTGGAAATTGTTAACACTTCTCAGGTCATTCCAGTAGACAGCTAAGGTCGCGAACCAGTGATTTAATGGATGGGATGATCCACGAATGAAATAGAACAGAAAGGGTAATAGCCAGCATGTAACATGAGAAACTGTATGTGTGTGTGTGTGGTGGTGTGTGTGGTGTGTGTGTAGTGTGTGTGGTGTGGGGTGTGTGTGTGTGGGTGTGCTGAGGTGTGTGTGTGTGCTGAGGTGTGTGTGTGTGCTGTGGTGTGTGTTGGGTTGCACTGCAAAATTTCTCACCGAAACTCATGGTCAAAAAGTTGGAAAACCCCTGCACTATGTTTCTCCTTAGAGTCCAGTGATTCAAAGGACGAGGAACACCATCAGTCCTTGATAAAACTGCAACACACTCCACAGTCATTGGTTCAGAGCTTTGAATCAGAGCCAGAAGGTGCTGGTGCTTCATATGCTCTTGATGTGCAGACCTTCAGCTTTGAAGGAGACAGTTTCAAGGGAGGTCACTGCTTATTTGAGAAGTTTAAGAACGTATCATGGACGTGAGTTTGCCTGGACATATGGGCCAGGTGAACGGTGTGAAATTTCCTGAAGTCAATTATGATTAAAAGTTCAGTGTTTTCCTGGAACAGGATTCTGAGTTTATTTAACTTAGAAGTGTCGATGAATGAGGACCTGGTGACCTCCAGGGGATCTGAGGGCTGGCTGGCTCTCATCTTTGCTGGGAGTTCTGTCACAAACATGCTATGCTTCCCAACGCTTGGAGAAGGACCCTGCTAGACATTTCTCCACGGATTTATCCCCATGGGGCAAGAATGTGTCAGAACAAGGATGCTCTCACTTCTGAGAGAAACCAGAGCACAGTCCATATTCCAGTGTGACTGAGTTGCTGGCACTGTTTGGACAGCATTTGCTTATGTCTGAAAAGTAAAATTGGGTCTCTCCTGCTTCCTCCCTTCTGAGCAATTTCTGAATTGACAGAACACCAGGTAAAACAGGTATCTCACCAGCCTGCTTTGAGCTTCAGTGCTGCCATAGCAGCTTGAGAACTGCAGGTGACACCCAGTACACCATAGAAAATAAATTGACAGAATAGCTACACTATAAAAGTCACTGTGTTATAGGACGAGGAACATGACATGTTCTCAAATATTTTATGTAATAGTTGGGAAAACAAGACACCGATATACAGAAAGGTATTGCACAATGAAGAGACTCCATGAGCATCTGTTGAGTGAGTACCACGTCCTGGCTCTGCATTAATTCTGGGCTTGTCATAGGAAGGTCTCTGCCCTCTTGGAGCCTGCAGCCCAGGGGACAGACAGAAACTCACTATTTAAACAGGGAGGGCTGTCATTCTGGGGGAGTCAACAGTGGAGCCCTGAGTTGTCCCAGCCAGGGGGTCTCACAGACCGTGGTGATCAGAATCTCGTGGGGACTAGTGGTAAATGCGGATTCCTGGCCTCAACACCAGCTCTCCTGAGTCAGCATCCTGGAGGCTGGGGGCCTGAGGATTTGCACTTAAAACAGCCCCTCAGATGATTCTCCTGCACATGAGTGTTTGAGAACGTTGGTCTGAGACGGCAGTTCACAACCCTGGCTGCATATGTGAACCAAACACGAAAAAAATGATGATATCAGACAGGATCCAGTGACAGTGATTCCACGGGCTTGTCCAAGCACCTGCGAAAGGCTTGAGCAAACCTGGTCTTGGGGTGGGGGTGCTTCTAATTTCCTGATGGCACCAGGGATGCTCGTTCAAACTGCAGCTCCTGGAGATTCTGAGTCTGTGGACCTGGTGTGGCCCAGGGCATCTGGTCTTTACAAGTACTCTAAGGATTCTGATCGTCAGTGAATTTGAGAAACTCTGGTCCAGGGAGTCAGCAAGGATCTCTCAGGAAGTGGTGTTTTAAGCCAAAGTCAAAGGGGTGAGTAGGAATGACTGAATAGAAACACATGGAAGGGGGAGGGGATTCCTAGGGGAGAGAAGGTCCTGGAAGGAAGGATGTAGAGGCGGGAGAAGGCAAGTGTCATGCGGGTGACAAGCCTATGAGAGCGCAGGAGGGCAGGAGCCCCGCGCGTGTCAGGGAGGTGGAGCCAGCAACTGCGAGGCAGGAGAGGATGACACATTAGGACACCAGGACTTTGTCTCAGTGACAGACTGTAAGGGCAGAGAGACACATGATCTGATCTCTAAGACCATCACCTGGGAAAATGGAATCGAGGCATTTGGGACTGGAAGGCAGGACCACACTGGTCAGAGGCTGCTGCAGGTGCGACCATGAGGAGCAAAGCTGGGAGCTGCCACAAGGTCATGTGTGAGTAAGCCCCAAGTGAATGATCAGTAGTGGTGACACTTGTGCAGCTGGCAAGGAACTCACTGGTTGGATCCAAGTGCTCATAGGACCCTGTGATGTTCTCGGGTAAACATTCAGTTGTCAGCACACTGGGCCTAAGCTGCTCGGGGTGGACCAGTTGGCTATCCACTCAGAGAGCCCATCCCCTGAGGTCAAAGCCAAATCCAGGGCAAGACGTGGGGACACACTAAGGCTCCAAAGAGAGAGGTCATGCAGGACAGTGTGGAGAAAACCCTGGGTGGGGGGAGGGTGGGGATCTTGGAGAAACAGGTGTGAAGCCCAGGGAGAGACTGGCCGCACGTAGCTGGAAGAGGAATCTTGCATCAGGAAGACCTCGGGAAGGGCTGTTCCTAAGCCACTTAAAGTTGGTCCTGGCAAGTGGATTTTTGCCTATGAAGAACTGGTGGCACCGTATCGCCTACAGAACCCTGCACTCACCAAAACCTGCAGTTGGCTTACTCACTTCCCACTGGTACAAAATACTGACTTTTTTTTTAATTTCCCTAATTTGTGAGGATTACCCTGAAAGACCATTGTCTTTCAGAGTTCTTCTATTTATGGTATCAAATTCTCCGAAGCCCAATTCACATGTTCCTCCTAATAATCAAGACAGCAAAGGGGATTTAAGGAGAGAACAGTTACAAAACTACATTTCCCAGCCTCCCTTGCAGGCAGGGGTGGTCATGTGACAGTTCTGGCTAATGAGAAACAAGTCACTGGGTGACTTTTTGGGAAAACTTCTAAAAAGTGCCAGTTCAGCTGATGGGTTTCTTTTTTCCCTTTGCTCTTCCCCTTTCCTGGCCTGAAATGTGCACATGATGGCTGGCATTCCAGCAGCATCCAGGTCACATGAAGGTCGAGGAGCAGAAATCTAGAAAGAGACAGATTCCCTAATTCGCAGTGGCAACGCCAGTACCCTCACCCCGGGCTCCTTACTTCTGTATTATCTTTCACATAACAGAAAAATAAACCTCTGTCTTGGTTTATCTACTGTTTTTGGATTTCTAGTTTTCAATCTTGATCTAATACAGGCACCCAGTCAGAGGCAGAGTCTGATGTTCTGCACAACAGCACCCCGGTACAGAGGCTCACAGAGCCATTGCCTTATTCCTGGAGGCCACGCACCCCTGACTGTAGCCCAGCAACGGGCTGGCTGCTCTAGCAGTCCCTGAACAAGGCATTGAAGAGACAGATTCCTGGGCTGTTCATCCCTAAGGATTTGTCTTCACTGACTCTTGGCGGAGACATGGGAATCTATCATTCTCAAACCTCCCCCAGCGCTCAGCTTCACTTGCGACCAGGGAACTATAAAGGAAAACTTGGGTGCAGTTCCCATGAATACCCACAGGAGCGCTGAAGTGCAGAAGGCTTACCAGATGCTGGCAAGGATGTGGAACACCTGTAGCTCTCATACTGCTGGAGGGGGTGTCAGGGACGACACCAGCTCTGGAAAACTACTAGCCCTGTGCATACGTGCACCCCATGACTCAGCTCTTTGAGCCCTCATCACACCAAACAGCAGTGCATCCACATCTTCACCAAGAGACAGCAGCAGAGTGCTCACAGCAGTGTTACTCATAGTAGCCCCAACGTGGAAACAGCCCAAATACCCATCTACACAACGGAGTGGTACTCAGTGAGTGTGAACAACAGCACAGAGGAATCTCTAAACATAATGCTGGACAAAACAGGGCCTACTGGTAATGGTCTCAGGTGATGGTCTGTTTCTCGATTTGTGTGCTGTTGACCTGGATCTGTTAGCTTTGTAAGAAGCCTTTGAGCTGCACCTAATATTTGTGCATTTTTCTGTGTGTCTGTTATACTTTGATAGCATGCACATGGGAAAATCCAACCCCTGGAAGGGCGGTTTTGGAAACGGTGCTCTAGTCCAGTATGTGGGTTGCTTTATTATGGATGGTTCTCCTCGGCCACAAATTTGCCTCCTTATGACATTTACCCTGCAAACCTAGCTCAGCCCTCTAGAACCACCCAGAAACCCAGGGTCATGGAGGGAACTCAAAATATTTGAAGGTGGCAATAATCCCCACCCCCAATAAGGAAATTCTTTGAAATTTCTTGAATATTGGTCACACTGGGAAATGTAAGCAATATTTCCTGTGACTCAAGAAGGCATTTTCAAGCATTTGGCAGAAAAACATTTTATGAGATGAAACAGGAAGGTAGTGACTGGTCAGGACAGAGGAATGGCTTCCTTTTGTCCCCTGGAGCCATGAGGGTGTCATTCTCTCTCTACCATGGTCCCAATGGGCATATATTTAGGCAGGATAATTTGTTTATTGCATTCACATTGGTTTGGAAAAGCTTTCTCATTGGGCCTCGGGGTGGGGGCAGCTTTCAACTGCTGTCACATGTGTCACCGAGGAAGCCCAGTTGCCTTGTCTGAAGACAAAGAGAGATGAGCTGTAGGAATTGTTCTTGGAGCACAATTCCCTTCTCCTCCCTCTGGGCTTTCTCCTGGGGCTTTTTTATGCCTACCAGCAGTTTTAACTCTTGGCTCCTAGAGCCCCTTTGCCCACAGGTGCAGAAAGGCGGAGAAGCCTTGGAGTTTACTTCTCCAGGTGGGGCTCTTAGCCAAGGATGGGCCAACTAAAGAATCTGGCAGCCCAGCCCCCTTGCCTGGGTATGGAACAAACTCTGAGGCACAATTACACTCCAGAGCTCCCCACGGGGTCAGGACTTCTGAAATAGCATCCCTGCTTGGACTCTCCCCATCCCTAGCCTGCTTCCTGGGAGCCTTCTCAGCAAATCACTTGCACCAAACTCTCATCTCAGGATGTGCTTCCAACTCAGGCACCTGGTGTCCTGAGGAATTTTAGGGCTGGCTCCCATGATGGGCTTGAACCGCCTGCTGTCACAGATCACCTCTCCCCTCCTTATGGCAAGAGAGAGCATTCAATTCATGACCATCGCTCCAAAGCAAAGGGTGCCTTAGTGGTGACTGCGTTCTCTTCTGTAAGGATATCTGCAAGGGTGCTAAAGAATGGTGAATACTTGGTACAGAGCCCGTGAATCTGTTTAAAGTCCCAGCAGCCTTGCTCCATTACGTCGATTTATGTAGGTTATCCCTTTGTGTGCATAGAGGCCTAAGCAAGTGACTTTTTGCTTGTCAGAATTCAAGGAGACTTTTCTGCCATTTTAGATTGAAAGGGGCACCAGAAATCCCTTCTCGTTTTTGGAGCCCTCCTGCTCCTGGGTCTCTTTAAGGTGCAGCAGCAGGCAGCAGGCTCCCTCTGTCTGTCTGCTTCTGGCTGGAGTGAGCAAGGCCAGTTCAGACTTCAGGACCCAACAGGCCCTGAGATGAACAGTTTCACCTTCAGAAAATGCACATCATGTGTAAGTTTTGGTCCCTGTGCTTAACAGGAAGGCTTTGACCAGTGTCCATCTCTCACTTTCCTAAATTTTCCACCTGACTTTTGTTAGAAGAATCGAAGTCTGGGCTCATTCAAAGAAAGGAGTCACTCCCAATTTGAGGCCTTATCCATAAAAAGAGGATAATTATGCCTTTTGTGCTCGAAGGCAAAGGGTTGGACTGGATAATCTTTTGAAGTCCTTTCCTATTCTAGGAATCAGCTCTTACCTCCTTTGTGAGTCAGAAAATGCACTGCATATATGGAGAGCCAAGCAGAGTTGCCTGGAGATTGATGCTAGAAGTTCCGGTTGCCTAGCAACGGCTGACAGGGATGGGAACTCCCCTTCCCCAGGAGCCTGAATCCAACTTTTTACAAGTTGCTGGTTTTCTATTCTTGGATAACTCCCTACATAGTGCGCATCTGCACTTACACCACATGGGTGGTGCCTGCCGCCACATGCTCACTGCTCAAACACAAGGCCAGCCTCTGGTTTGCACTAAGAGAAGACAGAGGGCCAGGTGCACAGGGACCTCCACTGATTCTCAAACCCAGGTGTGCCCAGCAGCAGCCACGCTGTGTGGCCTCTCTGCGGGGAGTAGGATCAGAGGGGATGGGGCTCCTCTCACTGGTGGCTGGAAGGCTTCCCAGCAAAGCCCATTTTTTTGGTCTACACTGTCTAGCTTCACCCACCTTGTCTCCGTGAGTTCACTTTATAAATGAACAAATCTGGGGTGAGAGTGTCCTGTTTGCCACGTGTTCTGAATACTTTGCTGGGTACCCCGCTGAGCAGTGGTTTTCCCTCATTTGGGAATATTATTAGAGTGAAGCAGCCCAGGGACCCACAGAAGATGAAGGGAAGGTTTCATAAAGAAAGGATCTACATGCCCCTGTGTGTGGTTGGGTGCTGGGCTCCTGGGCCCTCCCAGGGATGTAGTTTTGTTGGTGTGTGTGTGTGTGTGTGTGTGTGTATCATTTAGAAATGCCCACCAGAGCTCCTTGCCCTGGCTATTCACAGACTCTCACACCCACTTTAGCCGCCATGGACACCTGGTGTTGGGTAAAGAGACACCTGTTAGTCCTCCCTGCAGAGCCGGCCCTTGGTCCCGAGCTGGAAACATACTTAGCCTCTAAAGCCAGCGCGAACACTCCCGCTGCCTCAGGAGCAGCTGCGGATGTCCCGGAATGCCTCAGAGTGCAGTTGCCATACAGATCTGTGGTTGCCTGGAAGGGAAGAGATTGAGCAATGAGTGAATGATTCACTCTATTTTGAACCCCAAAACAACATGGAACAGAGGATTTCCTATCTCTTACTTAAACTCTGCCTTGTTCTGAAGAAGATTAAGATGAAGGTAAGGATAAGCTCAGTACTCATATATCTACTTTGCCATACATTTTATCTGAGCGTCCTAGTAGCCCATGCAAAAAACCCACTCATTTATATTTACAGTGTCCTCAAGATAAAAGCTAGTCAATCATTCAGAGAAGCATATCTGCAGCTGTTCTAGAAACTAGAGAGACATTTATTTTCTGGATCCTAAAAGGAAACATAGTTGGAAAGAGACAAGTCACCATCACCACATAGTCAATGCAATGGTGAGTTTTGTTACATTAGGATTGGCTCCAAAAACTCAAGGGCCACTTCGTCAGCATTTATTTTCCCTCAGGAAAGAGGGTGGCATTCCCAAAGAGGAAAGACTAAACATGCTCAGCTAAAGTTTGCTAGAGGGACAGGCCATGAAGGAGAAAATGTTATGGTCTCTGCATCTAAAAGTCACAGAGAGATTCTGATACATGTTCAGCAAGATGACCCTACACGAGTGATCACCTCCACAACTGCTCTTAAGGGGGGAGACTGACCAGCTGAGTTTTAAAAGACTTTCACAAAGAGAAAACCCTCATTTGTGATGTTTGTGTGAACCAGGGTATTCATTAAGCTCATATATAAATCACAGGAGTATTCCTTCCTCCTGTTTGTCTGTAGGCTCCTCCAGGGGGCCTGTTGTCTGGAGGAACAAAGCATCAGGGAGATTTCAAGGCATCTCCTGAGGGAAAATGACAACATTCAAGGAGAACCCAAGGCCCTTCCCCAGCTGTAGTAGACCGAGTCCTAGACAGGAGTTGAGGACAAAGTGACACCGTTGGGAGACCCTTGGGGCAGGGAGTGGGGCTTTGGGGGGAAGCATTACAAACAGAACACGGTGGGGGGCCCTCACTTGTTCTTTCCTGCTCTGCTCTTCTCCCTTCCCGCCCACAGAGCTTGTGGGATGAGAGAGGGGGCAGGTCCTTCTGCTTGGGAGGAACTGGCAGAGTCTCCGTCCTTCCCAAGGCTGGGGGAGCCAGGGGACTCACGGAGGGAGCCGGGCTAAGGTCTGTGTCTCTTGTCGGGGAAGGGCTTCTCCTGCTCACATGAGGGCCTGGCCAGCTCGGCAGGCCCTGGGACCAGAGCGCTAGCTGGTAATGACTGTGTCCTGGTTCCTGCCTCCTCCCAGCTCGGGTGGAGGCAAGGGCTGTCAGGATGGAACTCAGCAGGACTGTTGAACCGCCCACTGAATTCCTGGCGTGGAGGTCCGAGGAAAGGCTGCTATGCCAGAGAAATGCCCAGAGAGCAAGAGATTCAAAAACGCGCCTTATGCTCTCCAGGTGTGTATTTCTGAGGGGCTTGGAAAATTCACCATCAGACCTAGTTGCCCAGGAAGGAAGAGCTGCTCAGAAAGTGTAATAAATAATCCAAGCCTGTGGTTCTGAACCTTTTTGCTTTCTCACTCACGGACCTGTTTTAAAATGTGATGAGCTACCCTGCTCTTCCTTTGAGAAAATACACGTGACCCCAATGTGGGAGACTCATGGACCCAGGACAGTCCATCCACGGATGCTACTCTTAAATTACTGCAATGAATGGATGGGTTCTTGGCTCAGAATGGTGCTGGTGTGATGCCCCGGCTCTTAACAGCAGTTATCCTTCCAAGCTCTGTGCTGGGGCTTTTCGGTAAACCGGAGTGCATCACCGTCTGCAGGGCAGAACAATGAGCAAGAAAACATGTGGAAAACGAGCGGGCAGAGGGCCTCACGTTCGTCCCCATCGTCCGTCTCTACCTTGATGACAAAGCCGCATCAGCCTGGGAGGGGACAGATCGCCCCTCAGCGCCCGCCCGACCCTGCTGAGGGAAGGCGGGCGAGCGCCTCCCCCGTGACGGCACAGCCCGCGCCTGCCGTCCCACAGCGCCGGCGTGCACCCCAGCCTCGCGCGGGCGGGCGCCGCACTCACCACGCCGGCCTCGGGGTCCTTCTTCCTCCCGTTGCTGAAGGTGGAGGCCAAGGTGGAGGAGCAGCTCTCGTCGTACAGGGCGGTCCGGCCGTCGTTGATGGCCGAGTTGATGGAGATGGTCCACATGCTGGAGGCGTAGCCGTCGCAGTTGCAGTCGTCGTAGCTGCCGCCGTCCCCGGAGGCCCACACGTAGATGCTGCCTTTGCCCCCTCGGCCCTGCGGGTGGGGAGGGGGGAAAGGAGAGGCGCCACGGGCTGCAGGGTCCAGGCCTGGGAGTCGGGACCTGGGCTTCTGCAGCTGCTGAGCCACAGGACCAGGCTGGCTCTATCTGCCTTCGAAAACCACTGTCCTTCCGGTTAGGCGCTGCAAGAATTTTCCTTTCCCGGGAGGATGCAACATAAAAAGTCACCTGAATCTACACTTTAAGCTGGGGGAGCAAGGCGAGAAGAGCTGGAAGAATCTCTTAGAATTTCCAAATGAACTGCTTTTAAAGGCAGTACATCCTCATGAAAAGAGTCGAAGCGTAGGGGGAAATGAAGAAACAAGACCCCTAGATGTAATCATTATTATCCTATTATGTATTCTTTTAAGCAAAAGTGCAGGTGCACCTATAAATTTATACTTAGCGATA